AAGAAAATGAAAATGCAGATACAACTTACCGGAATCTGTGGGATGCAATGAAAGCCGTCCTGAGAGGAAAATTTATTACACTGAGTTCCCACATCAGGAAAACAGAACGAATACAAATAAGTAACTTGATGCTACACCTCAAACAGCTAGTAAAAGAAGAGCAAGTCAAGCCCAAAGCCAAAAGAAGAGAGGAAATTATAAAAATCAGAGCAGAAATCAATGCAATAGAGACTAAGAAAACAATCCAAAGAATCAACGAATCAAAGAGTTGGTTCTTTGAAAGAATAAATAAAATTGATAAGCCCCTAGCCAACCTTATTAAAAAAAAAGGGAAGAAAAAGCTCAAATTCATGCAATAAGAAATGAAAAAGGAGAAATCACTACAGACCCAATAGAAATACAGAGGATCATCAACACCTATTTCGAAAACCTCTACTCTCAAAAGTTTGATAACACAGAAGAAATAGACAGATTCTTAGAAGCATATGAAGTACCAAAGCTAGATCAAGAGGATGTAAAACTGTTGAATAACCCAATCTCTGTTAATGAAATTGAAAATGTAATTAAGTCCTTACCCACAAAGAAGAGCCCAGGCCCAGATGGATTCACTGCAGGATTCTACAAGAAATACAAAGAAGACCTAATGCCGACACTCCTCAAACTATTCAGTTAAATTGAAAGGGAAGCAATCTTTCTTAAGTCATTCTTGGAAGTAAATATTACTCTAGTACCAAAACCTGAGAAAGACCCAACTATAAAAGAGAACTATAGACCAATCTCCCTAATGAACACAGATGCAAAAATCCTCAATAAAATATTGGCAAATAGGATCCAGCAAATCATCAAGAAGATTATACACCATGACCAAGTGGGATTCATCCCAGGAATGCAAGGATGGTTCAACATACGTAAATCAATAAATGTAATCCACCATATCAATAAAGCCAAAAATAAGAATCACATGATCATTTCTATAGATGCAGAAAAAGCCTTCGATAAGGTCCAACATTTATTCATGATAAGAACTTTACAGAAAATTGCAATAGATGGTCTTTACCTCAATATAATAAAGGCCATTTATGACACACCAACAGCCAGCATCATACTAAATGGCCAAAAATTGAAAGCCTTTACTTTAAAATCGGGCACAAGACAAGGATGTCCTTTATCACCACTCCTATTTAATATAGTACTGGAAGTACTAACCAGAGCAATTAGGCAAGAAAGAGAAATAAAAGGGGTAAAGATAGGAAAAGAAGAAGTTAAGTTGTCATTTTTGCAGATGACATGATACTCTACATAGAAGACCCCCTAAACTCCATTGAAAGACTCTTAGATACAATAAATGAATTCAGTAATGTGGCTGGATACAAAATCAATACTCAGAAATCAATAGCATTCCTATACACAAACAACAAAATCACAGAGAGGGAAATAAGAGAAACTGGACTATTCACATTAGCAAGCAAAAAAATGAAATATTTAGGAATTACTCTTACGAAAGAAGTGAAAGACTTATACAGTGAAAATTATACTACACTGAAAAAGGAAATTGAAGATGATCTCAGAAAATGGAAAGACATCCCTTGCTCATGGATAGGAAGAACAAACATTGTGAAAATGGCCATTCTCCCAAAACTCTTATACAGATTCACTGCAATCCCAATAGAAATACCATCAAGATACCTTATAGATCTAGAGAAATCACTCCTCAATTTCATCTGGAACCAGAAGAGACCTAGAATCGCAAAGGCAATTCTTTTTTTTTTTTTTTTTTTTTTTGTCTTTTTCGTTTTTATCGGTACCGGGGATCGAACTCACGACCGCCTGCTTGCAAGGCAGGTGCTTATGCCACTGAGCTAAATCCCCAGCCCCCTGCAAAGGCAATTCTAAGCAGCAAAGACAAAGCAGGAGGCATCACAATCCCTGACTTGAAGTTATACTACAAAGCAACAGTAGTAAAATCAACATGGTATTGGAATCAAAACAGAGCCAAAGCTCAATGGAACAGATTAGAAGAGACAACCACAACTACAAACACACTCAACCACCTTATCTTTGATAAAGGAGCCAAGGAGGTTCATTGGAAGTACGACAGTCTCTTTAATAAATGGTGCTGGAAAAACTGGCTCTCCATTTGCCGACAACTAAAGTTAGACCCATGTCTATCACCACGTACTAAAATAAAATCTAAATGGGTCAAAGATCTGAATATTAAAACAGAAACACTAAATCCATTGGAAGACAAATTGGGTAGAAACCTTGGAGACATAGGAGTAGGTAGAGAATTCATGAACAGGACTCAAACCACAGAGGAAATACTTCCCAGAATCAATAACTGGGACCACTTCTTATTAAAAAGTTTCTGCTTGTCAAAAGAAATCTCCAGCATAGTGAAAAGAAAACCCACAAACTGGGAAAAGATTTTAGTGAGCTCTCTCTCAGGCAAGGGACTCTTGTCTAAAACATATAAAGAAATAAAAAAACTCAGACCTCCAAAATTCAAAGATCCAATCCAAAAATGGGCATCTGAGATGAATACGCACTTCTCAGATGAAGAAATGCAAATGGCAAAGAAATACATGAAAAAATGCTCATCATCATTGGTCATTAGAGAAATGCAAATTAAAACCACACTGAGATACCATCTCACTCCTGAAAGAATGGCCAGGATCAAGAAAACCAACAACAACAAATGCTGGAGAGGCTGTGGGGAAAAAGGAACTCTCCTACACTGTTGGTGGGAGTGTAGACTGGTGCAGCCTTTGTGGAGGTCAGTCTGGAGATTTCTCAAAAAGCTGGAATTCGAAGTCCCATTTATTCCAGCTATTCCACTTCTAGGCACATTCCCAGAAGAACTGAAAGCATCATACCACAGTGATATATGTGCACCTTTGTTTATAGCAGCACAATTTGTAATCGCCAGATCTTGGAAACAACCCAAGTGTCCATCAACTGAGGAATGGATAAAAAAGTTGTGGTATTTCTATACAATGGAGTATTATTCAGCTATAAAGAAGGATCACATTGAGATATTTATCAATAAATGGGTGCAGCTTGAGACCATACTCATAAGTGAAATAAATCAATCTCGCATGTGTGAATACCGAATAGTTTCCCTAATGTAAGTAATGATTCAAATATATAAAAATATGTGGTAATCATGATTCCCCATTAGGTGGCCTTGAAGCCTTATAAAGTTTTCACTTATTAATTGGAAAGGCTTTATTCTGGGCTTCTTGATATGGAAATATTTGAAGCTATAGTATATGAAATTTTATCCAAATATTTCAAGGAAAAAGACAGACACTATGGTAACTACTATTAAGTCAGGTTATATGGTGGTGAAGTACTAGGTTGCTGAAACAGTCAAGCTTTGACCTCTATTGTTATATTGTTATGTCCTGTTTTATCTCAATCTCCCCCTTATTCTTTAAAAAAATTATTTAGTTATTTCTTATGTTTGTCTTAAATAAGAGGAAAAAATCTAAAAAATTAGGATATATAATAGTAACTCTTTTTTATTTCATATTAACTTGTTTTGAAGTCCTGTAATACTCCCACAATCTTGTTTTGACTGATTAGACTCTGTTCCATTCTGTATGATAGTATCAAGTTTGAGGGTATAGGCAACTACTTTGAAGGCAATAAGATTCACTAAGATGCCCATTCTGGTTTGACTATTGTCTCCTTTGGAAGTCCTGTAATGTTTACAATGCCTAAGTTTTATTGGTCTTGTTCTCTACTGTTTTGTTCAACTTTATAATATATAATGAGATAGACAATTCTGTTTAAGGAAACAAGAGACAACGTTGATACCATTTTTGATAACCTTGTACTCTGTTCTACACCATGTGCTATGTCTATCCTTGGTTTTGACTGACAGGTTTGTTTTGCCATATTTGACTATATTCTCTCCCCCCGAAAAAAGTAATAAGAACTAAGGAGTAATAAAATCCAAAATGTGTAAATTTTTTTGTAAAAAAGAGAGGGGAAAAAAAAGAGCTCTAACAGATATAACAGCAAGTGTGTTTATGGGTGTTAAATAGCTGACTATATCAATGTTTTTGGATCATTGAACACAGCTGTTTGCAGTCTCTCTGTTTGAATGTCCACTTTGTATTCTTTGATACTGTGATTTGAGCAACTATTTTCAAGATGATAATATGTAATCTATTAACAGGTGATTTCCTACTGTTAGGTTTTTTTTTTTTTTTTTGTAGTTCTGTATTACATGTACCCTTACACCGCTTTGTTTCGTTTTGTGTTTTTCTCTTTTTCCTCTTAAATAAAATTTAAAAAAAAGATTTAAATAGTTTGGGGGTGTTGTCAATATTCTTGTTTTTCAGTTTTTGAAATCATTCTAACTGCTTTTCCAGCTTTGATAACAAGGGGTACACATTATATTAAGGAATATGTATTATGGGACAGTTTTTCATTACACCTAAACAAAGAAATATGTGGGGGATAACAATTATAATATTGTATTCTAGACGAAGCTTCACACAGGGTGATAGTCAACGGAAGCCAATCCAGGCAAGCAACTTAACATCTATAATATTCTCTTTTCTGCAAAGCATGGTGACACATGAAGGTCACTGCAGCATTTGGGAGGCTGAGGCAGGAAGATCAATGTGAGTTTGAGACCAGCCTGGGGTACAAAGTGAGCTCCAGGTCATCCTGAACTGCATAGAGAGACCCTGTATCAAAAGCAAACAGACAAAAACAAAACAAAAAAGACTTAGTTTTCCTTAACTATAATTTTCAAATCTTCTTTCACTTCATCGTTATGAGGATTAAAGGAGTTAACAGAACAGAATACTGCACATTGTAATCACAATGCGAGGGATGCGTATCATATTTTTTCATACTTTTTTTTTCTAAGTCAGTTCCTGACCCTACAGCAACAAATTAAACTCTTCTGATACTTGTCACAGTAATTCTTGGAAGCAATATGGAGGCATTGAATCTGTAAGGTCAGAGGACAGAAATCTCACAGACTACTTCCCTATGAGTATCGTCTTCAAGGCGCCCTGCACATCAGGGTTCCTCACGCTGTAGATGAGTGGGTTCAGCATGGGGCTGATGACAGAGTTGAAGATGTCAATGCCCTTGTGCTTGTCTGAAGCGTCCATTGAGCTCAGCCTCGTGTAGTTAAAGAAGCCTGTCCCATAGAAGATGCTCACCACAGTGAGGTGGGAGCCACATGTGGAGAAGGCCTTCTTCCGGCCCCCAGCAGAGGGGATTCTCAAGACTGCAGCCACCACATGGGCATAGGACAGTGTGATGAGGACAAATGGGAACACACCCACAAAGACTGCTGCTACATAAAGCAACTGTTCATTTAGCTGTGTGCTGGAACAGGAGAGCTGGAAGAGCTGAGGGAGGTCACAGTAGAAGTGATTGATCACATTGGAGCCACAAAATTTCAGGCCAGACAAAGCAGCACTATGTGTAATTGCATTGCTGAGGGTAAAGACACATGAGAAGACCACTGAGGCTTTCTGGATCCTCCAGCTCATGCGGGTGCTGTAGGTAAGGGGCTGGCAGATGGCCAGGTAGCAGTCATAGGCCATGACAGTCAGCAGGAAGCAGTCTGCCCCAGCCAGCAGGTGGAAGAAGAAGAGCTGTGACAGGCAGGCTCTGTAGGGGATGCTCCTCTCCTTGCACAGGAATTGCCTCAACAGAGCAGGAACTGTGACCGTGATGTACCCAACATCCAGCAGGGACAGGTTCCCCAGGAAGGAGTACATGGGGGTGTGGAGTTTGGGCTCAGTGAGGATGGCAGCAAGGATGATGAAATTGCCCCTTACAGTAGCTCCATAAGGACGAAGGAAGATGACAAATAGGATGGGCTGTAGGGCTGGGGAATCTGTGAGGCCCAGCAGGACAAACTGCATTACACGTGAATCATTTGCTGAGACTCTCAGTTCCGTGACTCTACCTCCAGCAGCAGACTGAGTGATGTGCAAAGGTGCTGCCTGTGGCCAAAAGTGAATGGGATCCTGATAACAAATGGCAAGTCCAACACTGTCAGGAGAGGCCAACAGGTTAGGACATATACATGTTAAGGGTAAGAAAGGTAAATGGTATGCCATAACAGGAAAAGATTTCATGAATCCGACCCTCATGAATAAGAACAAGCCATTGAAGAGATTCTTAACAGGTAGGAGAACTGATGCAAAATTCTTAATTGGAGAATATATGAGACATTTGAAGGTTAGAGGAGAACACATTTTTCTGAAACCAAGTTTCAGGAAGGGAATTAGCAGTCTTGTATTGGCTATCATCTGGGTATGCAGCATTGCAGAGGATGAAAAAGTTCTTCAGGAGAAGAGTGGGAAATTTTTGTACCCACCTTGGTCCCCATAAGGAGTCACACATGTAACATCATACAGTCATCCGTTGTTATCTTTAATGGGCTGGTTCCAAAAATCCTCTATATTGTATTCTGTGGAATTTCACATTCTGTGCTTTACATGACACAACGTATTCACATAACATGTGTACTTCAATTCCCTTAAAATTATCTTTACATTAATTACAATACCTACTATACACAGTGGGGGCCTGAAAAGTATCCTTAACCCAGTGTATTCATTCTAATAAAATAAACAGTGATCCACAGTAATGTCTCGCTGAATGATTAACACTAAGCCACTGGCAAATAACCTATCTCAGAAGGACAAAACAGAATAAAGTTGGAGGTCCCCAAGGGCAAAAGCCGTGAGTGGAGGCAGACATTTCTGGATGAATAATGCCCTGGGAGGAGAACTGGTCAACAACCCCCCAAGTACTAGCCTTTCTTCCATGGACAGTCCTCTTATCTAACACAGATCACTTTTTCATGATCTCTTTGCCATACTCAAGCTCATCTTCTCTTCTAGTCTCAAACAAATGCCTCACCTTTTCCTCATCTCTCCTTGAGGAATCCATACTATGCAGAGTCCTGACAATGAATGTTTTCCATCCTCTCATCTTCAACACTACATAGGCTCACAAAAGTTGAGAGCATCTTCTTAACCAGGACTGTCTTACAGTTAGTAACTCCTGAAAGTGGTTAGGCATCAAGTAGGTTGTGTAATATTTGTTATTTCATTAGTAAAGTTTCCCCACAGTTTTAAGACTGTCATCGTCCAAGCAGGAAGTGGCAGAAAATTAAAATGAGTTGAGATTTCTTCTATTAACAGCTCTCCATCTATTTTGGTGACTGAGCCCACACAGAACCTCTCAAATGCACCTTCTCCCCCCTGCATACAAACACCAGGTTTGCTTCCTAGTAGGTCTCCATCTGCCACACATTGTTAATCCAGGAAATGTCTTCTTTGAAGACCAACTGTAGTCTCAGATCCAGGCAACTGTCCATCCAATTTCTGGGAATAGACAAAGTTCCCTTCCTCTACAAAGCCACAGCAATCTGTAGACAATGAATGTTGGCAATTCTAGTTTTTATCTCCATCTCACACACTAAGCTCTGAAGTGTAATATGTAGTTGACATTCCTACCTGAATATCCCAAGGACCTGCAGGAAACCCAAAATTGAGTCCATCAATCTCTCTCCTTTTTCATAAAATGTGCCCCAGTGCGCGCGCACACACACACACACACACACACACACACACACACACACACACACACACACACCCCAAATAGAATAATCAAGAAAAGGTGAAAAATTCTTCTAGGGGTACAGACTTAATGCTAGGGATAGTTTGATTCTGTTCTTAACTCATGACAATGGAAAAGATGACTGCTTTAAGTCTCTTTCAGGCTCCAGGATCCTGAGCCAGTGGACAGAGCAGCCTTGTATTGGTTGGAGGAACCACCATATTAGATTTCTCAAAGGTGACAGTGACAGCAAATTTTTGAAGACTGAAGAGAAAACACTGAAGTTCAGTCAATTTAACTCACCTTATACATTCATTGCTAGCACTTTTCACAAGCTTAGAACACTTAGTGAAAACCATTAAGTATACTAGCATAAATGGGGTAAAAATGGGAAGTCCTTCTCCATGTCCAACTGCCCTCCTCAGCCCCATTCACAAAGAGAGTCTCTCAGGGACTCCCTTCCCTCACTGCCTCTCTCATAACTAACCCTTAATAAAGTGCACACAGTTTCATATGATGCATAACATTCTTTTTTAGATCAAACATATGCTTTTTCTTAAAATTATGAAACATAATTAGTTAAATTGACACAGAAGTGTTAAAAGTAATTCCTTTAGGACAAGAATAAAGAAAGAAAAATACTCCTGCATAATTTGCAATGTGTTATTATTTATACTGTATGTAAGAGTTCCCAGTCTTGAAATGTTATAGGATGTCGTGCTCCCTTGTGCTTGCCATCTCTTATCTGTCCTTTTAATCACCGTTTAAAACACTCTCCTTTTAGTCATTTGCAAGCAGGAAACACTTCTTTGATACCCACTTCAGGCAGTGCTGCCTATTTGAGGAGAATGATGTTGCAGTTTAAGCAGAAGTTCCAAGAAACATTCTTCTGCGGTTTAAAACACAGTCAGATGCCACGAAATTAGAATAGAGCTGCTTTTTCTGATTTTCTTATTTTTTTATATTAAAAACAAAACAAAGAAGATATAAATGATATAGAATTTAAAATCTATAGTAGCAAATTAATAATAGCTAATATTTTGCATAGTGTTATCTTACAAATACTTGTTCAGGTCGCAAGGTTTAGACATGAAAAAAATGGTAAAACAGTGAAAGCAGAAACTGCTCTATGTGATGAACTGATAGAAGATAGTCGCAGAGCTGTCTATCATTTATTTGTACACATACACATGTACACATGTATATCTATATACGGATGATCATTCCCTCATCCATTTATATCCCCACTCCAGTTGTTCATAAAGCTTTTCATTTAAATTAATTTTTATTAGTACATTTTTCCAGAGTTTCTCTTTTTAAATATTATTCTATATGTCTTTATGCCATCATAACATGGAGCCTTATAGGATATTTTGAAAACATCTAGCAATTTCACTTACATGATAGGTAGATCACAAATTGTTTTGGAGGTCTTGCTTTCTATTATACATGAGATTATTTGAATAACAAGTATAGAATCGGCACCCAGCTAGGTATTTGCGGTGTGATGTCCGACATGCACCCCATGTTTATGGCGTTTATCATCTATACAATGAGAGTGAAGGTAAGCTGCAATTGATACAGAAATCACTGTGGTAGTGCCTTTTTTGTACCAGGAATCAAACTCCCACCCTTAAGCTGGCCAGGCAGGCAGTGTGCCCCTGAGCTATATTCCCAGCCCAGTGGAAGTGTCTTTACTGGGTGACTCTCAGTCTTACTGTGAAGGTTAAGATCAGTGACTCTACGTAGGAGGATATATGAGTCACCATAGAGTGGCAGTGTTAAGAAATAATGATTGAGAGATGAGGTAAGAAAGAAGAGGGCATCCCACACCTGGCAAAGGTCAGATTTGAAACAAGGATGATCAGAAAGAAATAGTGGACTTTGGAAGATGAGGTGACACAAAGAATGTGACTCCAGGAACTAACAGCTGTGTAGACAGCACTGAGCCAAGGAGGAGCACAGGGCTCAGAGGCTGGTGCAGGAGTTCGGTGGGACAACTGGAACATGCCTGGGAGGGAGCTTTCTGCATGAGAGAGGCAGGTGGATGTAAGTGAGGTCAACAGAATGCTCTGAAGGACCAGGAATATGGAAAAGAACTGGATACATTTTGGTTGGAAGTTATTTTACTGGGAAATATTCTCAGGCATCTGAAGGGCTCCCTGCTGCCCCCCTCAAAGAGTTAATAAGCACATCTGTGAGGTTCATCTTTTTGATTCCATGACTGCTCTACCAGGAAGCATCTGAAGGGCTGACACAATAAACCTGACAATGCTCCACACTGTGCAGGTAATGAGTCTGTTTTACTGACTGCTCTTCCCTGGAATGGTATAGTTTCCCCCTCATGTTAAGTCCATCTCTTCTCCATTAATAGTCACTGCACCTTTACTAATGATCTACACAAACATATTAATCAGATGTCCAATACGTCAATTCATTAGGCCATTAAAATTAAAACTTGCTGGTTTTTGATGTTTCTTCTGATGAGCTATGAAACATCCTCATGTGTTTGGTGTAGTGACTGTGTGAGTCAGCTCACACTTGGCACATGAGCCTGTTGAGCCTAAGCATGGGTCAGTCGGGAAGGGGACAATGGTGTGGGAGTAGGTATGTGACAATTTTGGTTCAAGCAGTTGCTTCCAAATTCTTTCTGGTAAGTTCCTGCACCGTGGTTCTAGACTTTGACAAATTCCATTTCAGCTTCACAGTCCTAGACTTATTTCTTAAAGTACAGGATTATAAATACCAGCCCCATAAAGTATTGTATTATAAATAAAGTATAGGATTATAAATACCAGCCCCATAAAGTATTGTATCAAATACAGTTTATTTAATATATGTGCTGCCACAGTGAGCACAAATGTTGTTTATTTGAAAGGGGGCTACACTTTTGTTTTGTCAACATTTTAAGTATACCAGCTGAGAGTCATTAAATAAATTCAGTTCATCTCTCATTTCCTGACCCACATAATTTCTACCCATTTTTCTTGAATGTATTTTCTATCAACAATTCACATACACTTTTACTTAAGCTTTATCCTTTTTCTTCAATCCAAGTAAAATCATATTCTATTCTGACCCATACTTGATTCTTTGCTGTCATCCTTAGGTAAAATCTCCAAACTTGTCTTCTGTCTACATCTAAATTTTTACCATGAGAATATAAAGGGGAAGGGGGCCCGCAAGAGGGATGCACATTTTGATACCATGGAGTCAGTCTGCTCTCCATGGAAGTCTTGTCCTTGTCAGCACCGTCTCCAAGGAGCCCTGTAGCTCAGAGTGCTGCAGGTTGTAGATGCCTGAGTTCAGTATGTGATTGAGCATAGTTGTAAAGACTATGAACCTTTTGCCTTTATCTGAGGCCGAGACTAAGCCCAGGCTGTGTTCTGTCAATGAACTACATTCCAGTCCTTTTTAATATTTTATTTTTGAAGCAGGGTCTTATTGAGTTTCTGACCTGAAAGCTCAGACCTGTGATACCCCTAAGTTTGCCTCCTTGGGATAAAGA